AATCGCCAAGGAGTTGAGCTCGTACCACAGCAGTTCAACTCGTACGCGACCATCAGTGGTGTTCTGAGTGCAATCAAGTATTTGTACACCGAGCGATCACAACCATTAGAAAACGACTTGGTGGTAATGATGGCAGGTTGTATATATTGCATATTGTCTTTCAACTTTCACATCACTCACGTTTTGAATGATTAGAGTTTAGCGCTGGCTACAAGCGCAAAGTTGCCCAACTGCGCTCAAAAGGCGAGATACGCATTACAGAGGGAAAGGCACCGATATCTGTGTCAGGTACATGAATATTGTATTGACGGCAACTTATATATTCGATATGAATACTCTGAATTGTAGGTTACCAGTATTTGGCACTTCGGGCCCTGCAATCGACGAAGGATGTCAATTTGTGCGTGACGTCCCATGCATTCTTGGTATTTTGCTGGAATTTGATGGCCCGATCTGTTACAACGGCGTCAATCCGTTTAGAACACGTGACATGGAAATGTATTTTATGTTGTAGCATTTAGATTATTCACTTCCAAGGTCGTGGTGTAGGCGATGCACTTGTTGTCGAATTCGGTTTGGCTAAAAATGACCAGACTGGAGAGATGTGCTACCCGCGGCACGTGTACGCAAACCCAACTCGTCCAGAAATATGCCCCATTTTAAGGCTTGCAGTGTTTTGCTTTCTGTATAAAATCGTTGTAGTACTATATTACACAATGATTGTGACACTTGATGCATAGCTTGACAATACTTCTGTTCACCCGTCCACCCCAAAACGTTGGACTGACGACATTGCTGTTCGGCGCAAGTGCTAAAGAACGGTTTTCGACGTGGTTGGCATCTACGTGCAATAACTCCCGCGAAGACATCCTGGCGTTGGGTTTGTCTATCTCTGAGCTGGGCAGCCAATCATTCCGAAAGGGGGTCGCAACAGACCTTGCAAATATCCCTGGTGGACCTCAGGCCATTTCTATTTGGCTCCGTGCAGGTTGGAGTTTGGGGAACGTGCAGAGCCGGTATATTTTTCAGGGGGCGGGCGGAGACCAATTTGTTGGATGTGCAGCATCCGGTGCTTTATTGCAGTGGAATTAGAGATTAACAGTATAACTGGTTGTGTAGGATTGATGTTAACGACGCCTCTTTTGCAACCCTTTCACCTCACCTTCATGGGGCTGCATTGACGTCGGTCCAATGGGATCCCATATTGCCGGGGTTCACCACATACTACCCTGCAACGTTTCGATGCACAGTGCCATTCTTGTTGGCATCATTGGCCTGTCACTTTGATTGGATCAAGTCAACGTTGGCACGAAATCATCCGTTGTTCTTGTCCCATGTGTGGACAAGTGGTATTTTGCCGCAACTCTCCGAGCAAGTTCTCTGACAAGAGACATCCAAAGACGCCCATTCTAGAAACACGACACGAATTCGTTTTGATTTCTGCATCCAGACTTGGCCAAGATTTCATCGTTATTGACAGTTAAACATCGCATATTTTACGTTAAATCAATGGACTGCGTTTTATCGCGAAGGAATTGAGGTAAAACCTCGATGAAGTCCGGATACATCGGGAAATTCGTGCGGTTAACTTATTCCAGATAAACATGAAGATATCAGTATGTGCCAGAATGTCCACATATATCCATAGATATGGGGCAAAATGACCATTCGTTTAAATTCAATTCCTCGACAATTGCTTAACTCGTTGAAAATCCGGACCGTTACTCGTCTTGAGCTAGGCATAAGTCTTCCTTCACGAAAAAACGACAGTTGAAATAGTTATGTAAATGTAAGGCAAGTTGTTGTAGTCTTTAGATGGCTTGCACCATACAGGGAATGACGGAAATTCTTCCCCCGCAGTACTAGACCACCACCACCGCATTCATTGCACCGTTGTTGCCCGAGGACATGCAACACCCGCTATCTCGCTCGTAAATGCTTGGAAAAATCGAGCACAGCGTTGAGCCAATCAAATCACGTCCGTCAAAAATAGAAATCCGACTCAACACTTACTTTCACAAGGTGCTGCATAGTATTACTAATACCGATGGAACTAAGAGTACTAATATATCATTCGTCGAAAGAGCGGCATGAAAAACCTCTCCCGTCCGGATATGTTAACCGAATGCCGACCGACGACAACCACGTTGGCACATTTTCACCAAGACCCACAGCGACCTGGACATGCGGGGCTGGGTCAAGCTGCTGACGGTCGTGGCCTTGCTGGCCGTGCCAAGCGCAGAGGCCCGTGGTATGTCCGTGGCAAAGAAGTCGAAGCATTGCAAGCGTGACCACCTTGTTTGTGACGATGGCTCGAAAGTGTACCGAAACAAGCTGCTCGACTGCAAGTTTGACTTGTGCCCAGAAGACCAAGATGAGGAAGAACCGAACGAGCCGGACGATGACCTCGACGATGACGAGGATTATTATTTCAGTGAGGACGACAAGGAGGACGACGATGTAGACGAAGGCGACGATGTCGAAATCTCCGACGCTATTGTCGTTTTCTCGTCGCCCTTGCCGTCATCTACCCATGTGCGACATTCTGAACAAGCCTTGAATGGGGTAGCCAATGTGACATCGCACCCAAACATGACCAGTCCAGCCAAGAACGCGACATCTCCTGGTGTCCTCGAGTCCACCGCATCAACCCCACAAGGGATTCCAAATAGTTCCATCAACTCAACAGCATCCAATTCGTCCAGTGCAAACAACACAATCGTGATCCCGGAAAGCATTCGACCTGCTACGTCTTCAACACAAAAGCCGCGCTCGACGAAACAGACGAAAAGGAGCAAACCACATGCTCCTGCCACTTCCACTACACCTCCCGCCACGACCGCTACAATTGTTCCAACCGCGCGCCCCACTCATACAACGCAGGAACTACCGGTCACCACTGACCCGTCCAAGTACACGGAGTCCCATCATCCTACGGCTGCCACCGTCGCGACGACGCAGCCCCCCCTCGCAAAGGGGTGGCAAGTCCTCCCGTCCGCACCCGCGCACGTCTGGTCTGCGCTGAGCGATGCCTTTGCCCACTACAAGAACAACGACGACGTGTGCACACTGTTCAAAGTCGAGCCATCGTACGTTGAGTTTTGGAACGGCACGTACCACGTGATCGCCCATGCTGACTGCCGTCTTCATGACGTGATTGCGTTGGCTGGCAAGTTTTCGCTCGTGTTCCAGACAACGTCCGATGGGAATTCGACTGCCGAGCCCGCTACTCGACTTGAACTTACTGCATGCGGGTGGGAGGATCGGTGGGGCGTTGTCGTCAATTGGCTCATCGTGGACACGCAGACTGGCGCCGGGCTGTGCGAAACGCCGCATGAAAAAGCCCACTTCGACGCGCAGCCGTTGAAGTATGTCCAGGCGCATTCGAATTCCTCCGAGTCGTCGATGGCGAGTCTGTCCCAGATGGCTCATGGCGTTGTCCACAACATCGTTCAAGACAAGTCCAAGGTGGCGGGCGTCGCGATTGCCGCCGGTGCCGTGAGTGCGCTTGTCGTCGTGGCCATGGGCGCCCTCGTGTGTCGCAAGCAGCGACAGTCCGCGGCAGATTCGGACGACGAGGACGAGGACACTGTGCTGGAGAAGGTACCGTTGAGCTCCACGACAAGCCCGCTGCCACAGCCAGAGGAAGTCGAGGAGGGAAAATTCCAGTGAAATTCGTTTGTGTGTTTATTTTGAAAACGCCGTTCGCTTTAATGCACTTTCACTGTGCCTTGACACTATAAGGATCCAATTGCATGCGCGCACACTTGCAAATCTCGAGGTGGGATGTCGTTGTCAATGCCGTTGCCGTCGAGAGCTATCAAAGTCGCACAGTCCCTGTTGAGTACAGCCATAAATGTTCTCAACGCCCACACCAGAGTTACTCAAAGAACGGGTAGCCAACTCTCCTTTGGATCGTTGTAGACGGCTTCAGTTCACGCAACAAGCCGCTTGTGGCCTGCTCAAGGCTCGCTGCAACATGCGTCGGTGAGTGCTGGGGGTCTCCTTGGGCACACGTTGAACATTTGCAATTAACTGTGTGTTGGCTGCGAAGGCTCGTCAACAACGGCAACGATCTCGCTCGATGGAAACCATCGGCTGGATGACATGCACGGCTCGCGGATCAGTAGTTGGATTCATGCGGAGCAGACAACGAGCGACAAATGTCCGGGTACGCCTTGCTTGCCAGTGCCAGTGCTTTCATGTTGTGTGTTCGGCATCGACGTCATGTGCGCAATGAATACGGGGATAAGCGAATCGTTTCTAGTGTACAAGCGTAATTAATATTGATACATCAAACACAAGGGGCGGGGAAGGAGGGCCAACAACACCCTCTACAACACATCGTGCCACGACGCAGCGGCTGCCTTAAGGCGGCCGAACCGGATCACGACGGGACGCGAGGCGTCGCGCAGTTTGGCCAGAGTTTTTGTGAGCCCCATCGACACGACCGTGTCGCCTACAGCCCCAGTCGTCATTCAAGCAAAGTGTCCAAATGGATGTCATACCGTTGACTGTCAGAATCGCAACGCCGGACACGATCGCGGGGTATCGAGCGGCTTCAGAATTGGGGAGGCATTCTTGAACTGTTGGATATTTTCGCGTGGGGTCCATGCTACATGGACATGAGCAGCATGCTTCACAGTTGGAAGGGAAACTCACGCGAGCTTGAGGCCGATAGCACTTTGAGTGAATATCACGTCAAACTCATCGACGACTTCGCTGCATTTCTCCGGCTGTGCGACCGGGGATGCTCCTTCCGAGTCGGACGAGTTGCCCGTGGCCATCGAGGAGATTGTACCGGGGGACAACGGCGGAGCCTTGTCCATTCCTCGGTGACTATCTCGACGTAGCACCGCGCGGGCAAGTGTCAACGGTGGTGCTGGTTGCGCAAGCAAGTAGGCATTGTCATCATGCGGCGTCGTGTAGTACAAATGCAGGAGGGATACGAATCGAGCGCTGGTTGTCGTCTTGGCCTGCTCCTGACGGGCATAGGCATTGACAGCTTGCTGACCCATGCCGTCAAGGGCACATAACTGCTGAAAAAAGCGGTGGCTGCTGTTGCTGGAATTGACCTTCACTGACGGTGGCAATTGGTTTATGAACGAATCGTCTGGCACAAGCAAGTTGGAGGTAGCTTCGACTTCATCGTGAGGGCGAATGCTGGTGTGAATAGGCTGGCGCAAGTCGACCACTGGACAGCATGTTTTACTTCAAGGAACTTACAAACATGGTCGGTTGCAATACCGCATCGGCGAGACTTGTTGAAGAGCACTTCGAGCGTGATGTTGGGGTGAGCGACCGACAACGCCTTAGCCTGTGTTATGAGGGCAGAAGCAGGACTGTGCGGGTCACACGTGATGTCAAACTTTCGCACATGAACGTGAAGCCTAGCGAGGAGAGGAACAAATCAGCCAGGAAAGCGTCGACGCTAGGACAGCGCACCGAAGCGGGAGCTGCGGCATCGAAGCCATGCGACCTGGACACAAACTGCAGAGGTTGTGTCGGTCGGTGAAATAAAATTTCGATTTACATTAAAATATATGGTCATTTGTATGTGTACCAGTAGAGACTTCGGATTGGTCGGACAATGTGCACATCGTAAAGATCAGGCGCCAACGACGACATTTCAAACGTGTGAAGATATGGTCGTGGCATGGGCGTTGAGCAAACAAATCTGTAAAAACGACTTAGCGTCTCTTCTACGTGGCTCGGCACGCTGCTAGCAACTGGCTCGACGTAGTGGCAAAGCATTCCTTATCTAGGGGCTTTGAACTCAGCCTTCCCAACTGAATCGTCGGCGTGCTGCAAGGGCAGTGCTCATAGCAAGATCTTGGGACCATTGTTCACCCAAGTGTGAGCGACACACACCTGCATTCCTCTGGAATTCAACCCTAACCTAGATCAACTCCAACCTAGATCAACTCCAACCTAGATTGCCAGAGGTCGACACGTACGAGGGGCCAAAATCCCATAGTTCAATCAAATCTGGATCAATTTTACTGAAACTTCGTATGTCGCCATGCGACGCTCTGAAAGGGCGACCCCTGCAAACAGATACCTCTGAAGGGTATTTCTCAAGATCTCCAACGAGAGCGAAAATTTCTCACGATCGTCCGAGTTGAACGTACATGAGGTATTTTTATTCCAAATCGTCCGTCGCGGCATGATTGGCTAAAAATCTGACGAGCTTAAAAGCATTGGAAGCCAGTCCCAAGTGGGTTTTAGTCGTCTCCTTCGAGAATTTCATCGGCCCGCTGCAATCACCGACCGCACCCGCCATCCAAGACGCTACACCGAGCGCGACAGCCACCGAGAGGTATGACCTAGCCACTTTCGATGTACACCTGGTCCACTATGCCAGGCATGCCGCGTCCTCCGGTTCACGA